CTTGAATGCTAAATCAGCCTGAAGTACTGTAAGCTCAAAGCCGACTGTGGAAGAGGAGTGGAATGAAAAGGGATTTTATCTTTTGTGTACTGGAGCTAATGATTAGTGTAGCGTTTAACCTCACGCCATGTCAGCCTCTCCTTTAAAAAGCAGCGGAAAACTCACCTGTTCAGGCTGGCTTTTGTGTGATCTTTGGTTGGTTCTTCATCACTGCTTTCTCCTCATTCTGTTCTTTCTACCAATTCTGCCTTTCCCAGGACCCACTCTATTTGTTTTCTTTTTCCCTTTCCTCACATGTTTTCAGTCAAAGTTTTTACTTTTCTTGTCTTTATGTTTTGAAAAAATCCTTTTTCTTTTTCATTTTTGTTGTGAAGCACCTTTTCCAGTCGGAAATGGTATGTTTGACTTTTCTGATGAGGTTGGTCCATGACCAGGTCATGTGGGGATAGGACAAGGGGCCACAAATTGCAACAGGCATGCAAATGTCACAATTCAATCACTAGGTGTTTTAATTATGTCTTAAATGGTTCACAGTTGACCTTAGTTTTATTTACAGTTCTGTTGCTGAACCCCTTGTGAAGTTGTCTCCTATTTCTGACTCACATCAGAAGACTCAGGACCAGAGGGTTGCCGGTTCTGGGATTATTCTGAGAGGAAATCTGTTAACATGTTCAAATTCCAGCAACACAACATGGAGACTCACACAGAAACCAAGAACCCTCTGAAACCCTCTGACTAAAAAACTGAAACAGCATGTCACCTGTAAAGGTTAAAAAACGTATGAAATACAAAAGCAGGCAGCAGATGTAATATGGAGCAAATAGGTTATTTTGTAATCAACACAACCACATTTCATAATTAAACATTATGACTACTGTTATTCTACGTGCTAGTTAGATACAACATGTTCAATTAAAGGTTATTTGTTTAAATCACGGAGCTGAAACAACTTTGTCTCAAGAACTGACAAACCCTCTGACCCCTCATACCTAATGTCTGGTTCAGAAATATAAAATAAACCTTTTTGTGTCTTCACCAACCTACAAGTGAAGGCTCTGGAGATGTTACTTTAACCCTACCTCGGGTAGGTTCATGATTGTAAAACAGTGCTGTGGGACTGTACAGAACACCTGACTCCTAGTGTTTATTAGTGACCATGTAAACAGAAATGATACTGCTGCTGGACTAAAACCAACCAGGGTCCTGATCCTTTAGTAGGGCTGATTCATGTGCTCACCTGCAGCTATGGGAACAGATCTGTGCATGAAAACCCTCTCTGTAGCAGGACCGAGGTTCAGTTTGATCCCCTTTCACCCTCTGCTTCCCTTTCCGTCCCTTTTTTCTTCCCACTCTGGCCTGACGCTTCTGCATTTAATAAATGGGTTTACATTTCAGCACGACTTTCCAGGGACATATCTAGTTGTTGGCAGAATGTAATAAAGACTCGCCAAGACTACTCTGGTTTCCTCTACCTCGCAGATGAAGGTGGGGAGGAAGTGTTACACACATCTATGTACGAGGCTCTCTGTTTGAGGGGTAGATGGATTCTGTGTCCTTTTACAAGTCTTCCAATCTGTCCTGACCTAAATACAACTTCAGGTGTAAGAGAAAATGTCCTCTCATCTGTGTTTTCCATCGGCTAGGAGGGTTTAGATTTTCTGCAATGAGCCCCATCATGCAGCAGCTAAATAATAAAGGTTTCAACACACAAACTCATTTAGTTTTCCATAACCTCTGAAGATATATGCAACCACTGAGATGGTGCAACAGCTGAATGAGAAACAGAGATGGTTTGGCTTGCATCTGTTTTCCAGACATGCAATAAAATTCTATTATGATTTTAAAAACATTGCTTTATTCAGCCATCATAAATATCAGTGTGCTGCACGAACAGACGACACGCAGGAAAAATACCCACTTTCAAAGCTGTAATTCCAGTTAGGATATTCATTTGCCAAAATATGTCCAGTCCAGCTCTTTTTACAGTCTCACTTTTCCATGGCTTTCAGATGGAAATAAATGACAGCAATGAAGAAACACCTTCAACTATTCTACACTACATTCATTTTAAACTTAAAAACAAATATTTAGTCTCACAATACACTAATACACACAGTCTCACAATTGGAAACCAGATCTCGCAAGGAGGATCTGATGGCTGTAATTTCAGATTATATCTCTGTATCTGTCAGACGGACAATCTGATGGGGGGGGGGGGGGGGGGGTGTTTTACAGTTCACTCCCAGATGACTTTAGATATCACTATCACTGTTCAGCTACTGGAAATGAAAAGGTGGGCGTTTTTGCCTGTGTGTGTGTGTGTGTGTGTGTGTGTGTGTGTGTGTGTGTGTGTGTGTGAGTGTGTGAGTGTGTGTGTGTGTGTGTGTGTGTGTGTGTGTGTGTGTGTTAGCAAAGTGCAAAGTATCTCATGAACAAGCAAACAGTTTTTAATGAAACTCAGAAATTTGCATGTAGAACTGATTAAAGATGGCCGCCATTACTAATCAACACTAGGAAAAAAATTTGAACTAAAATTAAATATTTTAGTAGCTGGGAGTTGGTCACAAACAACACACACTTAACACACACACCCTACTGCCAGATCTTACACAACAGTCCGTGCATTTACATGCACATCAGAAAACTGAAGTATTGCCCTAAAAAGACTCCTGTCGTGTTTTTTTTATTGCATGTAAATGTGTTAGTCTGGCTGAAGGCAGACTGGTTCTAATCAAGCTGAAGCACCCAGATGACGCGGTAGCAATCCAATTACATTCTGCATGTAAACGAATCAGCCGAACTAAACCGGTTGGATGCTCATGTTACAGGAGTGACCACACCACGGAAGCGGTCTTCTGACAAAACCCTCGTCACAAAGCAACACGCATAACACCATGAAACAGGACAGTATGTAGCAAATAAACTGTGCTGCAGTGTTGTTGTACATTCCTTCAGCCATTGTGCATTTCCTGTTTCAATGCCGGCTGCTTCACTCTCACCAGCCTCTGTTTACTGCTTGTGTTGCTATAAGCCGGGGTATTTAATTTTGAGCCTGGAGGTCTGGTATCCAGCACATTTTAGTTTCAACTCTGTTTCAACACACCTGATTTCAATCAGCACATGATTAACAGGCTTCTGTAGAGCCTGATGAGCTGCTGCACAGGTGAATCAAGTGTGTTTAACCACAGAAACCACCAAAACGTGCTGGATACCAGACCTCCAGGACTGGAATTGAATGAATACCCCTGCTATAAGCTAACTGGAAGAGTGCCAACAAGAAAAAGGGCACGCTGCCACCTACTGTACCGGAGTGGAACTAACTTTATTTGAGAGGCCGGTTTTCTAATACAAATTTAAAATAGGATAAAGACTCCCAGCTAATTACAATAAAATAGTCTCGTGGATCAACTTAGATGTCAGTCAGTGCACATGAAACCGCACTGACTATAAGATCATGGTCAACCCCATTCATTTTTTCATTGAAGGGTCTTGTTCACTGAAAAACAATGTAATATTTGTTCTTTTCGAAATATGACAAGTCCTTCTGACCTAAATTTGCAAAGTGAACTTGAAAATTTCTTTTAAACCTAATCGCCCACATGGCTACAGAAAGTAAACAGACAAGAAAACATCACATCACAGGGGAAATTAGCCTTGGCTTGCGACTGTGGAAGTCTGGCGTTGATTAAGTGTCCAGGAGAGAGCAGAGCATGTCTTGGCTAGTAGAAGCTAACCATTAACATTACTAACTCCACAACATGGCAGTGCACTTTCAGGCTTGTGTTATGTGTGGTGTGGAGATAAAACATCAATGTTGAATTTTTCTTACACAAGAAAGAAGAATGAATGGAGGCAGTGGAAGAGTTGCATTACTGTTAGCCAATCAGAAATCACACATCATAAATGTTAATAGACTCTAAATCCTCTACTCCTCTGACTAACTTCTACTTCCTGAAACAGGAGTGCCAGAGATTTTTTACCACATAAAATCACAAGACATTTTTATGGAAAAAAATGAGCAAATGAGACAGAAAACAGCTAATCAACAATGTCTCTAATCATAAAATAATCTAAGTGTAATACTCTGGCAATAGTATTAAGGTGTGTGTGTGTGTGTGTGTGTGTGTGTGTGTGTGTGTGTGTGTGTGTGTGTGTGCGTGCGTGCGTGCGTGCGTGCGTGCGTGCGTGCGTGTGTGTGTGTGTGTGTGTGTGTGTGTGTAATGCATTAAAGCAGGGCTGTCAAACTCAAATTCACACTGGGCCGAAATGAAACTCTGGGATTCTTGGTGTAACACAGGCAGCAGACACTGGAAAAAACACAAAGGAGGGGGCAGTTCGGCTCCGGCTAATGCTGCAAAGCATCATGGGAGTTGTAGTCTTTGCTGTAAAATTGGCCAGCGGGTCTGTTTTAATATATATGTGCTTTTAATATATGTGCTTTAAAGAATGCTAAGTTTTCATTTTTAGCTGTGGTTTGCTGTTGCTACACCTACTTTTGCATCGCCATAATGAACTGATATTATAGTGTCCAAACGACTGCATTATGAATGGTTAAGCTAGTTTAGGACATATTTTATTAGCTCACTTATTTTAAAGTGAAGAGGATATGAAATGTTATTAGTTGAAGCCTTTGACTTTTTCTGTGGACTCACAGAGTTCCTGTAAGCAACAAAGTAGAACCTCCACAGGTGTGCGTGACCGGTGCAGAAATGCAGGCTGGATGAGCTGCCTCCGTGTGTTTTTAGGATGCTTTCTGCTTCACATAAGAGAAAAGTGCTGCTGATGTTGTGGCTTGTTCTGCAATTACTGAGTGAATTAAACCCCTTGTTTCACTTGTGCCACGTGGAGCTAATGAGTCAAACTTTATTTTCTGACAAGCATGAAATCAGGAGATGAAATATCTTAAGATGAGTACAAGTGTGATAATGGGATTAAAGGACAGATAGGAATAAACAAAAGAAGAATACTTTTATATTTTTGACAAAAATGGTTGAACTTGCCTTCCACCATCAACATTGGCTCTTTGGCTCCTCCGTGGGCCAACATCTCCCGGCGATAACGCTCACCCATGTCCCTGGAAAAGCCCCAGAGATCTAGTTACAGATAAATGTTTTCTCTTTTGTCAGTTCCTCACACTCCGCACACCCCTCTGCCACTGCTGCAGCAGCCTTCCAGCTAAAGCCTGTACAGATACTTGTTCATGACAGAAGGGTGATGGGAAACAATCCGAGAAAGAAAAGAGCAAATACCAGAGGGCTCGGCCCGGTGGAGATTTGCTGTCACACACTTCTGATCCTGGAGGGTCTGGTTAATGCGTGCATTTAAGACTCACAGCAGACACCTGGTGGTTTTGGTTGCTTATTCGTCCCTCATATTCAGCCATGAGCGGAGGCTTTAACAGCATCCAGGAATGGGAAGATTGTCAGGAGTCATCTGCCATGTTTACATTTAGCCTACTTACTTCAACTTCACCACTTGTGTGGGAAAAGACTTAACAGTCAACCCTGAATAAACTAAAAGATGCCTTACTTCTGTATAAAAACTGGTAGAAGAGATTTTTATATCAAATAATAAAAGCTCAATGCTTGGTTGTTTCGGGGTACTTTGCTTTACTAATTTGGAACAAAGTCAGAGATTTCACTGGAGAATTAAATTAGTGCCACTGTGAAAGAAAACATTAATTCAGAAGTGGTGGAAGGTTGGTATAGATTATATTTTCTTCCAAAATAATATTAAATTTTTTTTTCATTTCTTTCACATAGGTCTTTTTATACTAATATTTAAGCTTTGCTAAAAAATCCATCTCACCTGTTTAAAGGATCCTGAACGAAGCACTGTTTCCAAACCATCGAGGCCACGGCGCGGGACATGAGGTAAGAGTAATATTTGGCTCCGTAGCCAATCAGGTGGCTGAATCTGAGCTGCCATGCCTAAACAGAAGAGTAAAGTGAAGTTAAAGTCAGGTGTGCTGATCCTTATTTTTGACAATCTGGAGGTAGAAGATGGGCTACTGTATATCCCCTGTGGGGTGAATAAACAGACAGGTGGAGGTAATGCATTATTAGGAGTAAGAGCCACCACCACACACTGTGCCTGTTGGAACAATCAGAGTACAGTTGTGTTGTTAAAGTAAGGGATTCCAGTTGGCACAACTCTGAAATATCAGAATTGCTTTTAAAATTCAAGCAGAACAACAAAATCAATCCACTCTCTAAACAAGATCTCCAGTGACATTCCTGTAACTCCTGGTGGATCCTGATGTGTCCAGAGAGGATGCATAAATCCTCCAGCGAGTTCTGGACCTGCTCTGTTGTCTCCTCCTAGGGGACTGTGTAGGGAAAACCTCCAGGAAGCGTCACAATCAGATTCTCAAACCAACTCAGCTGACAACGTTCGATGAGGAGGAGCAGCAGTTCTACATCACGAGATGAAGCTCCAGATCTCTAAAGCTGAACCCAGCCCTCCTGTGGAGGATAATCGTTTCAGCCGCTAATATTTGAATCTTGACAATAGCTGAGTAAAATAAAATTTCAGATAACAGAGAGTCTTTAAGCTTAAAATTGGATTTATACGTCTCAACGTTTTTCCATCGGACTTCTCCGTCACCTGGGTAGTGTTGCAAAGCCATTCTCCGCCAGGACAACAGATGGCGTAGAGCTTTCTGGGGGTATCTTGCCACCAATGCAGTCATGACTCCAGTCATGATAATGTATTTACTATTGTGTATGTAATTTGTTTTTGTATTTCAGAAACTCAGGATCTTTCATGGCGGTTAAAACGAAGAGTCGGAGTACCCGGCCCGGAGGGTTACCGGGGTCCCACCCTGGAGCCAGGCCTGGGGTTGGGGCCCGTGAGCGAGCGCCTGGTGGCCGGGCCCAGCCCGAACCGGATACATGGGCTCGTCCAACTGTGGACCCACCACCCGCAGGAGGAACATGAAGGGTCCGGTGCAATGCGAATCGGGTGGCAGACCAAGGCGGGAGCCTTGGCGGTCCAATCCCCGGACAAGAAAACTAGTTTTTGGGACATGGAACGTCACCTCGCTGGCGGGGAAGGAGCCGGAGCTTGTGGCAGAGGTTGAGCGGTACCGGCTAGATATAGTCGGACTCACCTCGACACATTGCATTGGCTCTGGAACCCGAGACCTGGAGAGGGGTTGGACACTCTACTTTGCTGGAGTTGCTCCGGGTGAGAGGCGGAGGGCTGGGGTTGGCTTTTTGTCAGCCCCGAGACTCTCTGCCTGTGTGTTGGGGTTTACCCCGGGGGACAAGAGGGTAGCTTCCTTGCGCCTTCGGGTAGGGGAACGGGTCCTGACTGTTGTTTGTGCTTATGGGCCAAATATCAGTTCAGAGTACCCACCCTTTTTGGAGTCCCTGGGACGAGTGCTAGATAGTGCTCCATCAGGGGACTCCATTGTCCTGCTGGGGGACTTCAATGCTCACGTGGGCAATGACAGCTTGACCTGGAGGGGTGTGATTGGGAGGAACGGCCCACCTAATCTGAACTCGAGCGGTGTTTTGTTATTGGACTTCTGTGCAAGCCACAGTTTGGCCATAACGAACACCATGTTCGAACATAAGGATGCCCACCGGTACACTTGGTACCAGGGCAGCCTAGGTCACAGGTCGATGATAGATTTTGTAGTCGTATCATCTGACCTGCGGCCGTATGTTTTGGACACCCGAGTGAAGAGAGGGGCGGAGCTGTCAACTGATCACCACCTGGTGGTGAGTTGGATCAGATGGCAGGGGAACATGCCGCGTAGACCTGGCAGACCCAAACGCATAGTGAGGGTCTGCTGGGAACGCCTGGCAGAAGAACCTGTCAAGACGGTCTTCAACTCCCACCTCCGGCAGAGCTTTGACCACGTCCCGAGAGCAGTGGGGGACATTGAGTTCGAGTGGGCCTTGTTCCACTCTGCGATTGTCGAGGCGGCTGTTGCTAGCTGTGGTCGTAAGGTGGCCGGTGCCAGTCGTGGTGGCAACCCCCGTACCCGCTGGTGGACACCAGAGGTTCGGGGAGCCGTCAGGCTGAAGAAGGAGGCCTACAGGGCGTGGCTGGTCTGTGGGTCTCTGGAGGCAGCAGACAGGTACCGGATAGCCAAGCGGGGTGCAGCAGTGGCAGTTGCCGAGGCAAAATCTCGGGCGTGGGAGGAGTTTGGTGAGGCCATGGAGAAAGACTATCGATCGGCTCCAAAGAGGTTCTGGCAAACTGTCCGGCGCCTCAGGAGAGGAAGGCAGCAACTCGCTCACACTGTTTACAGTGGGGATGGGGAGCTGCTGACGTCAACTGAGGCTATAGTCGGACGGTGGAAGGAATACTTTGAGGAGCTCCTCAATCCCACCAATGCGCATTCCGAGGAGGAACCAGAGCTGGGAGGCCTGGGGATGGACTGTCCGATCTCGGGGGCAGAAGTTGCTGAGGTAGTCAAACAACTACACAGCGGCGGAGCCCCGGGGGCGGATGAGGTTCGTCCTGGGTATCTCAAGGCTATGGATGTTGTAGGGCTGTCATGGTTGACACGTCTCTACAACATTGCGTGGTCATCAGGGGCAGTTCCTAGGGAGTGGCAGACCGGGGTGGTGGTCCCCATCTTTAAGAAGGGTGACCTGAGGGTGTGTTCCAACTATAGGGGGATCACACTCCTCAGCCTCCCTGGAAAGGTCTACCCCAAGGTACTGGAGAGGAGGGTCCGATCGATAGTTGAATCTCAGATAGAGGAGGAACAATGTGGTTTTCGTCCTGGCCGTGGAACTGTGGACCAGCTCTATACCCTTGCAAGGGTGATGGAGGGGGAATGGGAGTTTGCCCAACCAATCCACATGTGCTTTGTGGATTTGGAGAGGGCTTATGACCGTGTCACCAGGGGCACCCTGTGGGGGACGCTCCAGGAGTATGGGGTGGGTGGCTTTCTGTTAAGGGCCATTCAGTCCCTTTACCAGAGGAGCGTGAGTTTGGTCCGCATAGCCGGTAGTAAGTCGGACCTGTTCCCAGTGAGGGTTGGACTCCGCCAGGGCTGCCCTTTGTCACCGGTTCTGTTCAACACTTTTATGGACAGAATTTCTAGACGCAGCCGTGGTGTGGAGTGTGTCGAGTTTGGTGACAGGAGAATCTCGTCTCTGCTTTTTGCGGATGATGTGGTCCTCCTAGCTTCATCCAGCTCTGACCTTCAGCTCTTGCTGGGTAGGTTCGCGGCCGAATGTGAAGCGGCTGGGATGAGGATCAGCACCTCCAAATCTGAGACCATGGTTCTCGACCGGAAAAGGGTGGCTTGCCACCTCCGGGTCGGGGGAGAGGTCCTACCTCAAGTGGAGGAGTTTAAGTATCTCGGGGTCTTGTTCACGAGTGAGGGTAGGAGGGATCGGGAGATCGACAGGCGGATTGGTTCGGAGACTGCAGTGATGCGGACGCTGAGCCGATCTGTCGTGGGGAAGAGGGAGCTGAGCCAGAAAGCCAGGCTCTCGATTTACCGGTCGATCTACGTCCCAATCCTCGCCTATGGTCATGAGCTTTGGGTAATGACCGAAAGAACGAGATCGCGGATACAAGCGGCCGAAATGAGTTTCCTCCGTAGGGTGGCCGGGCTCAGCCTTAGAGATAGGGTGAGGAGCTCGGACATTCGGGAGGGACTCGGAGTAGAACCGCTGCTCCTCCGGATCGAAAGGAGCCAGTTGAGGTGGTTTGGGCATCTGGTCAGGATGCCTCCTGGACGCCTCCCCGGGGAGGTGTTTCGGGCATGTCCTGCCGGCAGAAGGCCCCCGGGTCGACCCAGGACACGTTGGGGAGGTTACATCTCCAATCTGGTCCGGGAACGCCTTGGGGTCCTGCCAGAGGAGCTGGTGGACAAGGCCGGGGAGAGGACGGCCTGGAGCTCCCTGGTTGGGATGCTGCCCCCGCGACCCGGACCCGGATAAGCGGAGGAAGACGAGACAAGACGAGATTTCAGAAACTCAACATGGATAAATGTGTCCCTCATTCTCCACCACCTTACAAGTTTTGTTTTAAATGTATATTTTCAGTTTGCATAGTCAAAGATCAAGTTTTTTCATCATTTAATATCCCAAAATACCTGGTGGTCCTAAGGACAGTCTGGAGCTCTAGTTGGGATGCTCCCCCGCGACCCGGACCCGGATAAGCGGAGGAAGACGACGACGACGACGACCACAAATCTGACAGGCAGATTGGTTCAGCATCTGCAGTGATGCGGACGCTGAGCCGATCTGTCGTGGTGAAGAGGGAGCTGAGCCAGAAAGCCAGGCTCTCGATTTACCGGTCGATCTACGTCCCAATCCTCACCTATGGTCATGAGCTTTGGGTAATGACCGAAAGAACAAGATCGCGGATACAAGCGGCCGAAATGAGTTTCCTCCGTAGGGTGGCCGGGCTCAGCCTTAGAGATAGGGTGAGGAGTTCGGACATTCGGGAGGGACTCAGAGTAGAACCGCTGCTCCTCCGGATCGAAAGGAGTCAGTTGAGGTGGTTTGGTCATCTGGTCAGGATGCCTCCTGGACGCCTCCCTGGGGAGGTGTTTCGGGCATGTCCTGCCGGCAGGAGGCCCCCGGGTCGACCCAGGACACGTTGGAGAGGTTACATCTCCAATCTGGTCTGGGAACGCCTTGGGGTCCTGCCGGAGGAGCTGGTGGAGGTGGCCGGGGTGAGGACGGTCTGGAGCTCCCTAGTTGGGATACTGCCCCTGCGACCAGGACCCGGATAAGTGGAGGAAGACATCGACGACCTCAAATCTGCATGTAGTGACTTAATTGTAGGTCACTCAGCTGGGTGGAGGCAGAGAGGTGATTTTGACGCGCTTCAATAAGCAAATCCAAACATTATCTTGCTTGATGATCTTATTTACTTTACTTGTGCTGCCTTTATATTATTGTGCTGTTGCTTTAGAAGTACAAACAGAATTACAAAGAATAAAAACTTT